CCTGCTGACTCCTGCGCTGCGCAATAAAGTCCAGTCTGCCCTGGTGCGTGGGGTTTTCTTGGTCTCCTCCAGCTCCCGAGCCCGGGAATCCTTTGCAGCCCCTGTGTGCTGGCCTTCCCGTACGACCCCGGTGAAATCCCAGCTCGTGGCAGCCAGGGAAGCAGCTCTGCCTTTCCCCCTCCTTGGGGCTTGTGCAAGAGACCGCGGGCAGGAAGGGGTCAGGGAGATGCTTGCTCTTGGCTCTCACCCTCAGCCTGCTAATCCTGAGCTCTGCTTGCTTAACAGGGACCTTTGCTTGTCAGCTGCTCATGCTGCCGGGTCCGGGACAATCCCACACGCCATGGGTATGGGCTTAGTCTACAAGCGCCAGCATCGGGGAGGATACATCTGCCTCAGTTGAGCAGACACGGGCACCCCTGGGCCCGTCCCCTCTCCAGCCTTCCCTTCCCATCTCTTACACAGCTGTCCTTCCCCAGCCTGTCCTCTCACGTACCAGGGACGGGGCCCAGCTGCAGCCAACACGCCCCTGCCTCTCCTCTCGAGAGTCCTCGCTCTGCAAGCGAGTCCTGGGGCCTGCTGGGCAAGGGCTAGTGTGACTCATGGCAGGCGTGCGACAGCGAGAGGGGCCTGATCAGCTCCGGACACAAGTGGGCAGGGGAAATGCTGCTTCCCGCGGGTGGGGAGGGAAAGGCAGGAGGTTAAATTGTACGTGCATCCACTGGCAGTCGGTCAAAGCCGCCGCAGGGAACCCGACAGGCAGCCCCAAGCACCTGCAGATAACGAGCATCGCAGCCTCCCAAGCCTGGCTTGGCCCGACTCTTCCCCCTGCAGTGTTCAGGGGATCTGGCTGGGGGACGCGAGGGCCACGCTCCCGTCCAGGCCACAGGCCAGAGCCGCCTGTTCCCTGGCACCGTCCAATGGTCTGGTGTGCACGAGGAGTGTAGACCACCCCGTCAGGGTAAATCTGAGGTCTGTTTTGGGCCTTTACTGGTCCATGACGTGGTAAAGGCAGGAGCTCTTGTCCTTAGCCCCTGGGGCCTCCCGTGGTTTAACACTTCTAGTGTAGATGAGGTCCCAGCATCATCTCCGAAGGAAATGGGGGATGAGAGCAACCAAGATGTTGAACTTGGGGAAAGCCCCTTCCCATCTCTGCTAGGGCCCTGCATCCACGGTCAGCAGTGCAAACCTCCCCCCCGGGGGGTGATCCTCGCTGAGCTGGGGCGAAGGTGCACCCCTTCCGGGGTGGCTGTACCATGCCCCACGGGTCCAGGCAGCTCCGTGTCCAGGACCCCCCAACAAGGAAAGTGGTGCACCTCGCTGGCCAAGCCCAGCCTAACAGCAGCGCTCCCTCCACGGGCCTCACAGCCCCCAGGAGACCCCCTCCTCGGGAGATTCCCCTTGGCAGGATTGCGTCCACACACCCGAAGCCTAGGCCCAGGCAGCGTGTCCGTCCCTGGCTGCCGTGTTGCCTCGCAGGCCTCCGCTTGCCCCTGGGTCTCCCTCCACGTGGCACCTGCCTGGTCTCGGTGATGGCTGCGTCTGTCCTGCTGGCCTCTGGCTGCCTTTCTAAGTGGCCTGAGGCACATCCAGGCCTGCGCTGCTCCCAGCCCCTTGCACTGCCGGGAGAGGCCTGGGGAGCGCGGAGCCACAGGCAGCTTGGCAGCGGGCACCCGACGATCCGCCCCGGCGCGCGGGAACCTGCCACGTTGTCTGAGGCAGGGTTGTCGTGCTTCCAATCTGCAGAGGTCGGTCATCCTGGGGGGGTTGCATCCAACCCCCCTCCGCAACCGTTCCCTGCCGCGGGGACAGGTGTCAGCATGGCACCTACCGCGACCGCCTGCAGCGCGGAAGGGTTGCGGGTGTCTGCGGGCAGCTTCCCCAGCTGCAGCTCCCTGGGCCCGGGTGCCTCACGCTGGAGGCAGAGGGGCTTTACCGGCACGTGCCATCACCCTTGGGAGGACGTGGTGATTTGGGCATCTTCAGCCGGGTGCACAGGGAGCCGAGCGCTCCCCTTGCCCAGCTGACACGCGGGAAATGCAGCCGCCTTCCCCTGCACGGCCAATTGCCCAGCGGTGGTGGCACCAGCCTCTTTCCCCTGTGGAGATGGGGGCAGTTTCTCGATGCCTCCACAACAGGGTGAAAAGCTGCCCGCTCCCGAGCTGAATTCCCGTAGCCCCAGGGATGCCCCCCAGGGCCAGGTGCTGCCCTGCCCGCCCACCTGGCCATTCCCAACATGCGTGGTCCCACGAGCAAGGCACGTCCCCGCGGACACGTCGGTGCTGCTCCAATGTGACCATCGCAGCTTTGCTTCCCAGACCCAGGGAGGGCCGACGAGGGCTGTCCTCTACCACCCGGAGGGGGCAAGCAGAGGCTCGCGTCCCCCGGGGAGCTGGAGGGAGGATCCTGCTCGTGCTCCCCGTCTCTCTCCCGCGTTTAGGGGCCTGGGGCTGTACAGAGACGGCCCCGTTCCTCCTCCCCGGCAGCTCGTCCTGGCCCTTGTTACCGGTTGTTCTTCCGAGTGTTATTTACTGCTGAGCCAGGCAACCCGCGGCCCCGGGGGAGCAGCCCGGCTGCTTGCTTTTATTTACAGTTGTTTGGGGGGTTTTTACAGTGGGTTGTAGCAGGCCAGCTCCGCTTGTGGTGGCCTTTCGCAGGCACCTCTCAGCTGGGCGCCACGTCAAGAAACGAGGGGTCGTGGGTGAGATGAGGGGGGAGAAGCCACCGGTGTACGTGCGACGGTGGGAAGGAGCTGCCAGGCCGCTGAGATGCCTGTGCAAAGCGACTGGGACGCGTCCAGCGGGGCGATCGATCCTCTGAAATGCTCTTCCCTCCGGCGTGGGAGCAATAACCGTGACGGCCAAGGCTGCTAAGCCCCCCTTGCCGGTCTGGGAATGTTCCCGTGGGCTTTCTGCCGTAACACGCTGTAAAACCGACGGAGCTGGGAGCGGAGGTGAGACGCAATAAACCCTGATGGAGAGTGCGACCGGCGGCCCCCGAGCGTATCCGAGCAGCGCCAGCCATCGCTCTGCTCGCACCACTGCGGGCACGGGGGCCAGCCGGGCATCGGGAGAGCAGGTGAGCAAAAGCCAAGTGCTCCCTGCAGCTCACTTCCAGCGTGACAACTGGTGACAGCCTATATGAGTCTGCCTTGGGGGCCACGTGAGCCAGGGCACGTGGCGCAGCAAGGGGCTGGGCAGCCCGAGCCCGGCCCACGTGGGGCATGAACCGCCCGTGAGCAGTCGGGGCTGCTCCTGGTTCCAGCCACGCTGTGTCCAGGCGTCTGGCCATGCATCCGTCCTCTTCCCAGTACAGACAAAAATGCCCCACGCCACATGGTTTGCAGCACGCGCTGTGTCCACGTGGCTCTGGGCCTTTTTGAGACGCTCCTCTGGGAAGAGAGCCCGGCATGCACTGTTGTGCCTGGCGGCGCTGTGCATTTGGGGCTGTTTCTTGTGTGTTGTGGGGCCCCGGCTGGTATTCTGGGACCTGGGTGGGGGGCCAAGCGAGCCTCTTGTGCTAGGCCGTAAACCCCCGTGTCCAGGACCCTTTGCCACTGAGTTACGCCCCCTGCACCCTGGATTTTACTCCGTGATAGGGAGTGGACACAGCCGGCTGCCCCCACGAAGCGCTGTTGCAGGGCTTGACGGCTGGCTGGGCTGGGGGTGAGGAGGAACTTGCCCACCTTGTTTGTCAAGGGGCTCCTTGGCCCCGGCTCAAGTGGCTTACTCCAGAGCCGGGCTGGGCATCGTGTCCGCCCCACTTCTCCCTCCTCGTGAAGCCAGAGCTCCCCAGGAGTGAGCGTGCTGCGTGTCTGCGCGCTGGTGTCATGTGTGTGCAGCGCCTAGCACGGCGCCAGTCTGGCGGTGGGTCCGGCGTGGCCCCTGGTCCCACCACACAACAGCAGTGGCATGGGGCCTGCTTGGCTGTGCTGTAGGGGAGGACTCGTGCCCACGCTGCCCGCATCCGTGCCTTGAAGACACGCCTGGCTGCAACCGGCCGGTCTGCATGACCCGCCACGCTTCCTGGCACGGCCTCTTTCATCCGATCACGCGCAGCTAACGGGCAGGGAAGGACCCAGGCCAACAAGGACGCGACCTGCCCTCTCCCACGCCAGGAGGGATCACGGCGTTCCCAGGGCCCTGCCTGCAGGGAGGCAGCGTGGGCACGAGCTGCAGACCGCGCGGGAGCCGTGGGCGCCTCCGGTCTCTCCTTGGAAGCCTCCAGGTATTTTGCTTCTGTCCCTGTTTCCTCCAAGCACTTGGGAAGCTGCTCCTACCGCACAGCGCCCTGGCCGTGGCCCCGGGCACCGCTGGGCAGAGACGTGGCCCCGGCCTCAGGGGGCTGCGACGTGCAGGGAAGGCCGTGCCCCCTTCAGTCGCCTTCTCTGATGTGCTCTCCCGCCTGTCTCAAGGTTGTCTCCCTCTTCCCCTAGGGAAACAAGTCGGAGCAAGGCTGCTCCAGGTCCCCAGCACCGGCCGCCTCGACGTAGCATCTGCAGTAATAACGCTTTGCCCTTCTCTCCTGCCCCGGCCCATGGCCACACAGACACGAAAGAAATGTGTCAGGGTGTTTGCAAGCCGTCCTCCGGGGCACTGGGTGCCGCTGGGGATGGAGACCGGGCTGTGCCAGAGTCCAGTGCTGCGGGAATCCTGTATCCGGACTTCAGCACGGCTTTGGACAAGACCTCCAAAACAACTTGGAGAAATGTGGGCTGGATAAAACTGCTACCAGGTGCACAGCTAGCTGGCCCCATAGCCGCGAGCCAAGGATAATTACTAATGGGTCCACGGCAGGATGGCAGCAGGTGTCGAGTGAAGTCCCACAGGTGTCTGTCCTGGGCCCGGTGCTGTTCGACGTGTTTATTAACGATTTGGAAAGCTTCTTGAGCAAGTTGGGGGACAACAAGAAACTGCGAAGGACTGTGAACCTGCTGGAGGATGCAGCTGCGATTCAGGAGGATCTCAACAGCCTGGAAAGCTGGGCTGGAGCTGCCGGGATGAAGTTCAATGCAGGCAAACGCAAGGGAGGAACCTGGGGAGGAATAATCAGCATGGGCTGGATGGCGTGAAGTTAGAGAGGGTCCAGAGACAGGCGACAACGATGATCAAGGGCTTGGAAAGCGAGTCATAGGAGGAGAGCCTGAAGGAGCTGGGCACGTTCAGCTTGCAGAAGAGGCTTGAGAGAAGACATGATCGCCGTCTTCAAATACTCAAAGGGCTGCCACAAAGAAGAGGGAAAGTGCCTCCTCTCTCTTCCTGCGGAGGAGGATGTGAACCAATGGCTCGCTGTTCCTGCGAAGTAAGTTTAGGTTGGATATCCCGAAAAACTTCTTCACTGGTAGAGCAGGAAAGCAGTGGAAGAGATGCCTGGGGAGGCTGTGGGCTCTCCATCGCTAGAGGCGTTCAAGAAGAGTTGGCCAGGCACTGATCTAGGCATAGCGATGCCCCCTTTCTACCCTGGGTATTTCCCAGGCGTCTGGGTTTTGCCGGTTGCTCCCCTCTGCCCCCTTTTTTTTTTAGTTTAGAGGCTGGTTGGCACGGGGCTGGCCCTGCCGCAGGCGGCGCTTGGACTGGAGGTGACCTCTGGAGCTCCCTTCCAGGACGATCCTGCCAGCCTGACTTCCCTGAGACGTGCGGCTCCCCGGGGCGACGTGAGCTGCAGAGCAGGGCCCTGCGTGCGCGGGTCCTGGGATCCAGGCACCGTTTGCTCCTGTCTGCACTGAAACTCCTGCAGCTCGGGGCGTCCGGCTCCCCGCAGCAGTGGGGTGACGCCCGGTGTACGTCCCCCCGCGGCCCCTGGCTGCAGTCGCATCGCTAGTCCGAGCCGAGGGGGTGGATGGCGATTTGGCCCTGTTTGGGCAGAGCCAGGGGCTGCAACTTAACTCCCACATTTCTCCCCGCCATAAAGCCCTCGGGTGAGCTGATGAGTTACAGAGCTCACCCCCTTATCAGCCGGGCCAAGCCCTTTATTGCCTCTCTCGGTGGGTGGTTGATCCGTAGCCAGGTCGCTTCGGGCAGTACCTGCCGTCCCTCACATCCCACTCGGCTCGGCTCTCCGGTGTCCGCGCGAGCATTTGTTCCTGGGGGAGAGCAGGGGCAGGGGGGTGGCATCTCTTTCATTCAGGCTCATTAAAGTGCTGCGATCCGGTGTCAGTAAAGCCGAGGATGCTGCGGCCTCCAAGGTGAGGCCGAGTGGGAGGGAGAGGAAGGTCGCACGGGGAGTTGGCCGGAGCCCTTTCTAGAGCAAGGGATGATTCAGTGCAAAGCTATGAGCCGTGCAATCTTGGGAGCCCGGCATGGGGTGAGACCAGTCCTGGCTGGTGCCGTTTCTTTGAACGTTATCAGCGACCGCTCACCTCTGCAGCAGGACTTCACCCCTCGGACACATTTGGCAACATGCCTCCAGGTCCAAAGGTGAGAGGAAGAGCCCTTAAAAGAGCCGGCCCCCGTTCTTTCGGACAGAGACGCCGTCCAGCCCGGGATCCCCAGCCCAGCTGCAAAATGCAACATCTGGGCAGACTGTGGACTTGGTCCTGCATCTGCTTTGCCATCCACCTGGCCGCCGCAGCTGCATCCATAGGTGAGGAACAAAACTTTTTGCCTGGGAAGAAGCCTGTCATCTAGTGCCACTTGCCTTTTCCGTGGGAAACGCGTCTCCTGGTCTGTCAGAGGCCTCAGGAGTTGTACCAGCTTGACGCTGTATGTGGCTGCTCTTTAAGGAGGCGCATCAAACACTGGGGAAGGCTTTAACTAGAGAACGGGGGGCTGGAAATGGGGTCCCTGCTGGAGACCGTGCTGCCCCTAACCATACGCAGTGGCAGGGCCTTACCCATCCCATACTGGTGGCTTGGCAATAAGTGACCCAACGCCAGCATTAAAGCAGACAGTTTGCCCTTGTCTCTTAGGACGGTGGTCACTAGTGGGTGGTAGGAGGCCTCTGTAAAGCCAGAACGAGCCAGGGTTTGGGGAGCTGGCTGCAGCCTCTGCTCACCTGCCCTGCTGGGAGGTGTGCATTGTACACATGGGTCGTGTCCCTGCTGGGAGGCGTGCCTTGTACACATGGGTCGTGTCCCTGCTGGGAGGCGTGCCTTGTACACATGGGTCGTGTCCCTGCTGGGAGGCGTGCCTTGTACACATGGGTCGTGTCCCTGCTGGGAGGCGTGCCTTGTACACATGGGTCGTGTCCCTGCTGGGAGGCGTGCCTTGTACACATGGGTCGTGTCCCTGCTGGGAGGCGTGCCTTGTACACATGGGTCGTGTCCCTGCTGGGAGGCGTGCCTTGTACACATGGGTCGTGTCCCTGCTGGGAGGCGTGCCTTGTACACATGGGTCGTGTCCCTGCTGGGAGGCGTGCCTTGTACACATGGGTCGTGTCCCTGCTGGGAGGCGTGCCTTGTACACATGGGTCGTGTCCCTGCTGGGAGGCGTGCCTTGTACACATGGGTCGTGTCCCTGCTGGGAGGCGTGCCTTGTACACATGGGTCGTGTCCCTGCTGGGAGGCGTGCCTTGTACACATGGGTCGTGTCCCTGCTGGGAGGCGTGCCTTGTACACATGGGTCGTGTCCCTGCTGGGAGGCGTGCCTTGTACACATGGGTCGTGTCCCTGCTGGGAGGCGTGCCTTGTACACATGGGTCGTGTCCCTGCTGGGAGGCGTGCCTTGTACACATGGGTCGTGTCCCTGCTGGGAGGCGTGCCTTGTACACATGGGTCGTGTCCCTGCTGGGAGGCGTGCCTTGTACACATGGGTCGTGTCCCTGCTGGGAGGTGTGCATTGTATGCGTGGGTCAACACGGAGCCATGGTATCGATAGGACTGACTTGAGAAACACCATTCGCTCCAAGCCCCCCTGGCCATTGCCTAGCCCCTTAGCGCACATAGAAAAGACTTAACCAAGATTTCTGGGGCATATCTAGCAAATATGGCCGTGGTCACACTTTCCATGCAGGTCCCGGGCCCATGCTGTGTGCCAGGGGTTAATGAAGGATCAACAGACGCTCTAAAAATGGGTATGAGATGGATGGAGAGGCCAGGGAGAAAACAGGCTGTTTATAACTGTGGTTTATAACCCCCTGCAGCAGCTTCTACTGACAGTCGTATAACACCGAGGGCTCTTATCGGAAACATCTATTAATCACTTAGGGACCTTTGTAAATGGAGCTTTAATAGAAAGTGTGATTGAAAAAGAAACCGGTGGTCGCCCGGCGGGGTTATTTATGCCCTGCCTTTGGTGCCGGGGCCTCTCGCGGGCAGTAAAGCTGTCGGGAGCTGCAGGGCCCTTTGCAGTGTTTCCCCCTGGTGCATTTTCACCTCCGGTTGGGGCTCGGGGCTGGGGGAAGCGAGGGAGATTTCCAAAACCAGGTAGTTTATGACCCAGGGGTCAGCTCTGCCTTCCGGCTGCCCGCGAGCTGTGCACTTGCGCACCAGCGTCATGCCTCGCGCAGGAGGCTCTGGCAGGCCCGGCAGGGCAGGGACGTGCCGTGATCTCGTTAGGAGCTGCCTAGGAGGTGGAGGAGGCTGGCGATCAATCCTCGACCCCTCACACGACTCGGCCCTCTCCTCTGGGGCGCTGGCTCCGAGCCGGGTGGAAGTGGCCCGAGGGGGATGCTTGAATTCACAGAGCGGCGAAACGTGTCCGTCTGCCGGTGCACGAGGCGGCCGCGCTCTCGGCTCCTCTGGGCCGCGGGGGCTTGTCTTCGTGGCAAAAATACTGCCTGCGTCACGACGGGCATGGTCTCGGTGAAGGTGAAAGCACGGTGTGGGGAAGGGACCTTAGCTAAACCTGTCACGGGCTGGGCCAGGTGGTAAATCTTCGCCGTGGGGGCATCTACAGGCCAGACTGCAGCAAGGGGCAGAGGCACGGGGGCAGGAGCCAGCGGGGTGCCGGCCACGTCGGCCGCTCGACGGCCTGCGGTCAGCAGTGCAGCCGGGCCCCGTGCTTTCCCCTCGGGGGCTCGCTGCGAAGACCACCGCGTTACGAGCAGCGAGGGGCAGCCTGGCTCCCTGCCTCGGCTGCAGCTCCGCCCGCCAACCCCCCTGCCT